AATCTGCGAGTTTTGCTTTTTCTCATGGTCGAGTTCAGTTATTTTTCTAAATTTTTTTACCTTTCCTCCAAAGAAATACAAGTGACTGGTAGATGGAGCAAACCGTATAGGACACAAAGCATTTTTTTCTTTTGCTTAGCTTGCTTCTTGGAGTTTCTGAAATCAATTTTTCATTGCTATCAAATTCCATATTTGGGCAACTCAAACCTCACAGAACAACAACCGGCAAGAACTCGGGTGTCACTCGAAGCAGCTTTTTCTCCTCTTTCTATCACTTGTTTTTTGTTTCTGATTTATCAAGTTTGCCGGGATAAAATCATCATAATTAGGTTGTCCAGGGCGCCCCAGGCTGTACCCGGAATTTTCGAAAGTTGCTAATCTGAAGCGGTGAATGCTCAATTGGTTTGTAAAATTAGTGTCAAAGCATAATCCATCTTTGTATGTTTCAAAATCCTAAGATTTATTGGTGTTTGGTGCATTTGTGTCTGAGACCAGCTTGCTAAAATTCGGTGGTTCCATCAAAAAACCTATACAAAAATTATGACAAGCTCTGGAAAGTAGAAAAAAGTTGTGCAGTTTCTTGTAGGCTTTGCTCTATCCATCCATTACTTGGACTCCTTCCGAAAAATGTTGTAAAAATTCAGAAAAATTGTGAAAGTTGGCCTTCTGCCTTCTCAAAAAGTATGGGTCGCAGATTTTGATAATTTTTCGAGAGGTTATTGAACTTTGTGCAGCGTTCATATGACCGTTGGAAAGAGAACGAAATGTTGCATCAAATGCTGCCAGAATTCTACACATCTTTGTTCTTCGAGATGTGGCGTACGTTTGAAAAAGGCGACATTCATTCGGAACGACCTAATATTTGCACGTGTTTTAAATATACACATCAACATCGCCATTTTTACATATCTCCTTCCTTCCTCTTATCCGATTTTGCCTTTAGTAGTTTACATGTAGAAGGAATGGTGATGGAGGATTATAGAAGCCAGCCTTGAACTCTTTGACTCTTTCCTAAAGTGTGATTCTGCCATGTCAAAACTCTATGACTCAATAATAACGAGCTAAGGGTTGTTTACGCCTGTTTGTCTGTGTGTCTGTGTGTCTGTGTGTACGTCTTTCTGTCACGAAATTTGTAAAGCGAGTTCCAGCAAAGGCCTTGATCTAGAATTTTGGTCACAGCACCCTATCAGCAAGTAAACAAACTGTGCAAAAGCCCAAACCGATACGATAAGTGAAATTTTGAAAGCTGCTCGTCGTCCACTTGGCTTCTGGCCCGCAAAATTGGGTCCGTAAATCTACTTTTTGCAGACCGCGGATGTATTGGGTCGGTCCGAAAGCTCGCGCTGTTTTTCAGAACCATGCTCAAACCACTTAGAATGAAGGTAGACAAACGCTGTAGACACTATCCGATTAAAAAAAAATTTCCCTTTTTAATGGTTGTGATCCTATCAGATTCCCTTGAAGTCCGCTCAACAATTTGCAGGGATCTCCAACCCATAAATTTCATCCATCTTCAGTTTGACTATTTTTCTAAAATTTCCATTTTCAACTTTTAAACTAGCTCTAATGACAATTGGATAGAATAAACATTATGCAACACAATAAACTATTTTGGCTTCATTAAAGGATGTTCGTCGACGACAGCCCCGACTCGTGCAATCACACCATTGCGCGTGTGTGTCTTTGGAGCCTTTCCGCTCTACAGTACGCTGCAGCGCGCGGGGAACTTGCTGCTCGCAGCATTCCTGTCCTATAACCTTCTTTGTTATTTAAGCATTTCTCATTTCATTTTCTTCGTGAAATTCGTTTCAGGCACCTACTCCTCTATTCTTTCAGGCTTGTTGGACCGTTGAATATATCCTACAAGTTCTAGAGTATGTGTCCATGGCAGCTATCCATGGGTGTCTCCGTCACACACGCAAAGCCGCTCGGATTGTCCTCGCAAGCTCGAACATTTGATCAACGAGATTTTTCTACATTCTTTCTTGCTATTCTTATTCTTTTCTCATAGGATACGTTCTCTTAATATGGTCAGTGCTAACTTACCGGTTTCGCTCTATGCTGTTGTGCTGTTTGTTGAACCTTTTGAGTCTGGTCAAGTGAATGCGAGCCCGACTTTGTGGAATATTCTTAGATCAAGTGACGTTAGATGGAAATTGTCGGGTTGCATTCACCTGACCAGAGTGGAATTCGACAAACTTATCATTAAACCAACGGCCATAGGTTGCCGAGAACTATTGCCAGGTTTGCGATTTGACGATGTGGACAGGATGCCAGTGGCAAGGAATTGGCAAAAAAACACACATAATCACAACAAATGCAATTTCCTCATGTAATCTGGAGGTGCCAGCAAACGCTAACGGCACGCGAGTTTGTCAACACCGCAAACCGAAAAGTTGGCAACCTGTGGCCGATGGTCCATTTAGGTCATGCTTAGATAGCGCCACCTTTGGAGCCCTGCATTCCAGAAAATTGAGAAAACACCAGAAAACAAAGCTTCCATTCTAAGCTTTTCGAGGAGAGCTTAACAGTAGCTCAGTCAGGGCGTTGCCTGGTACACACACCAGGATTTGTAAGATATTCGATGTTCAAGTCCGCCTGGAATGAAAATCAAAGAAAAAGTGATTAAAAGGGCATAAATAGCAAAATAGAATATAGGACAGGAATGCTGCGAGCAGCAAGTTCCCCGCGCGCTGCAGCGTACTGTAGAGCTGGAAAGGCTCCAAAGACGCACACGCGCAATGGTGTGATTGCACGAGTCGGGGCTGTCGTCGACGAACATCCTTTAACTAACTTTTCATTGATTCTTAAGAGATTTTTCCAAAAGCCCTTAGTTTTGCGAAGTCGCGAAATACACAATTGCTTCAAACACAGACAAATCTTCGAATTTAAAGCTTCCAAAGACAGATTATGACTTAACACTGTCTTAGTAAGCAACTGAGCGTTTAAGGGTTCGAAATAATGAATTCCGAATTTTCTGAGTACAGCCTGGGACGCGACTGAAAACAAAAATTGTAATGATTTTATCCTCACCTCAAATATTGTACAAATCAGAAAGAAAAGAAAGGCTATCAGAAAGAGGAGAAAAAGCTGCATTGAATGACACCTTGGTTACGTTTATTGTTCTGTGAGGATTGAGATGCCCAAAAATGGATTTTGATAGCATCAGAAAAATATTTTTTAAAAATTTTGACAAGCCAGTTAGAGATGCCAAAAAAATATCGTATTGCATTTTGTTTATTCCATCCAACTGTTATCGAAGCTAGTCCAAAAGTTGAAACGGGAATTTTAAGAAATAGCCAAACTGAAGATGGGTGAAAACCATGGTTGGAAAGCCCTGCCAATTACTGAGCGGATATTGAGGGAATTTGAACAAAAACATAACCATTAGAAAGAGAAAGGGATTCTGCATTGAACACTGTTTAGAGCTTTTGTCTATCTTTAGACTAACAATAAATGGCTTGAGCATGGGTCTGAAGCACCGCGAATTTTCAGACTGAACTCTGAGGTCACGGCGTAATGACACTCATTCGAATATAAGGTTGCAATCAATTGCCGTGCCACTTGTGTTTGTGTTTGATTTATCATGTCTATTTTAATTAACTTCTCTCTTAACTTTATTGCCTTTTATTCCGCTAAAATTCTGTAGGCTACCTATCTTCCTAAATTTTTGAACCTTCCTTAGGAACTACTGATGAGGGGTGTAATTCACGTAAATAACTCCCTTTTCCTCCGGAAAAAACTCAATTGGTCGCCACTCTTGATTGATCTGCAGAAAAATAATAAACTTGAAGCTACAACAGCAATCAAATTCCTACATTCTAGACGACAATCCTCCCTTCATACCTCCAAAACCTCGAGGAAAAATTTTTGCAGGAATTTCAGGACAGAATAATCCACCTAGCATTTTTTGGAACAGACTCGCGATCATGCAGTCAAACCGGAAACTTCAAAAATTTGGATGGATTGTGAAACCGGAAGTATGGCGGATATCAAGTATTTGCATGAATTTATGGCGTGTTCGTTTCAATTAATGAGAAGTGCATAATATAATGTATTTGTGATTTAAAAAAAGCATTGCTTGTATATTAAAAAACAAGGATTAAATACAGAGGAATGTTGGAAATTAAGACTACCAAAAAAAGTATTAGGTTGGTGCAAAAGTAATGCGCGTTTTGCGAGTTCTCATTTTGACGTGCTATAACTTTCTAAAAAATCATATTTTTCAACGCGATAAAAAACATCAAAGGCACCAAACCTTTCTCAATACAGCGCAATCTCCCTATACTCATATCACCAATGGACAGAAAAATATGGGTTGATAAGCAAAAAAAGATTTTTTCTAAAACTTCGTTTTCAACTGGTCATAACTCCCTTCAAAATTTGTTAATGTAAATGATAAGTAGCCTATCTTGTAGCCGTAAGTCAACAGTACAAAATAAGCTGGAAAAGTCTCGGACGAAAAAGTTTGCAGAAAGAAAAAATCAAAATCCAAAATTGTCCACTTTTTTGGGAATTTTTTCGCAGGCTTAAAAATCCCAAAAAATGGGGGTTTGTTGATTTTCTGCGTAATGAACAGCTACACAATTCAGTAAAAACTGTCAGTAGGAGGCCCTCTTACGCTTACAGAAATGAGCGAAGCTTTGGCGATTGCCCTCTTCAAAGGAAATCTATGGGACACAGAATGATCAAAACGTCTGCCCATGCTGAGACGCCCAAATCTCAGCTTAGGTAATTTCTGAGAAAATAATAAAATGTGCATAATGTATACAATTTCCATTAGATACAGCAGCTAGAGTTTCAAAAGTTTGCCTTTATTCGGGCTTGATTTCTGGCCAGAAAAGTAGATGCAATGAAATTTTGGTTTCGAGTGCGGTTGTGTGAAGCTCTATTATTTTTTAACTAATAAAGCTAGAAAACCGTTTTAACCACCATTGGATAGAGGATGAAAGGAGCTTTTTGATAGCATGCTAAGTATTTTACAAGGAAAAGTTTCGATGGAGAAAAGTTGTCCTAAAAAAGGGCTAGAAAAACGCGCATTACTTTTGCACCAACCTAATAATAAAACACGAAATCAATTGTACTTCCTCAAATGATCAAAAATCCACAAAGACTGATTTTATATGCGGACCAAAACATTTACTCCATTTGATCAAGCATGCATTGCTTTTTGAGCGCCAAAATTCGTCGCCTCTCTTCCCAGTATAAACGCTCCTCTGCCGCTGATGCTATACGATCATGATGCTCTTCATCTGGCTTCATCTGATGGCGCTCTAGGGCTATACGTCGCTCTAGAGCCAAAAGATTCCTCTTTTCCTCCCAGTACTTCTTCTCTTCGTTGGCTGCTTCCATTCGTACACGAGCACAATCGATTTCAGCTCGGAGCGCTTCTCGGCGCAGGTCATCGAGTGAGTCCCTGAATCAGGAAGGTACTAATGGGACAGTCATAAGTGTGCGGAAAATAAAAGCTCACGATTTCTCGATTTGTTTAGGCTTGTGAAAATCGCCCAGACCACAAAGCGATGCTTCCAGTGAAAGAGAGGACTGCTCAGCAAAACTTGTTGTGTCAGCGGGAAAAGTCAGACTTGCACAGTCTGAAAACACACTTGAGTATTCACCCAAAAAATATGTTTTAAAGTGTGCCAAAAACGCACATTCAGTAGTCGAGCATCCTGGATGATAATCAAACGGCATATCCGACATCGACATTGGTCCGGCATTCTGAACCATGTTTTAAGAGTTGACATCTTTATGAAGGAAGAAGAAGGCGAATGGCAGGTTTTTGAGGCACTGACATCACATCGCGGGCTCAGAACCCCGAACTTCTAGGAAAAGGGAGCGTGGCGTCAGCCACGCCTTTGATTATTTTTTTATAAGGATAAATTGAATTTTTGAAAAATTTTAATAATTGTTTTATTAGGTTGGTGCAAAAGGAATGGCCGATTTGCGAATTCTCAATTTGACGTGCTATAACTTTCTAAAGAATCCACATTTCCGAATGCGGTAAAGACCCTCAGAAGCAGCAAATCTTTCGCAATACAGCGCATACTTATTTATACTCAAACCATTGAAGGGAAGAGAAATACGGACTAAAAGATAAAGAAGGTTCTTCTGCTAGAACCTTGTTTTTGACAATTCATAACTTCCTTCAAAGTTTTTTAGTATGAATGATAAGTGGCCTATCTTGTAGCCACAAGCCAGTAGTACAAAATGCAATAAAAAGAATTCGGACAAAAAAATTTGCGAAAAAGAGAAAAATTGAAATTTAAAATTTCTCAGTTTTTTCAACATTTTTTCACTGTGCCTCAAAGTCCGGAATATAGAATTTTCTGATTTTCTACGTACTGAACAGCTGGATGTTTTCGCAAAAACTGTTAATAAGTGTCCTAGCCCTACGCTTACAGAATTGAGCAAAGCTTCGGCGACTGACTTCCTCAGAAGAAAATTATGGGTCATAAAATGACCGCAACAGCTACTCATGTTTGGGCGCCGATATCTCAGTCTGGATAACTTCACAGAATGCAGTTAAGTACACATAATGTAGACAATTTCTATTTTATACAAGAGCTAGATTTTCGAAGAAATCCCATTGATACGCGCTTAAATTCTGGCTGGAAAAGTGAATGCAATGAAATTCTGAATTTGGATGCGGTTATTTGAAGCTCAGTAACTTTACAAGAAATGATGATGAGAGCGTTTTAAGCATCGTTAGATAGAGATGAAAACAGCATCGTGATGGTATAATTAATGTAAAGAAGAAGAATTGATGGGGAAAAGTTGCCCTGAAAAAAAGCTTGGAAAATCGGCCATTTCTTTTGCACCAACCTAATAATTACTGACAAGTATAAACAAGTTACTTGCATTTTCTATCTTATATATAAAGCTGAATGTCTGTTTGTATGTATGTATGTCTGTCTGTCTGTCTGTATGTGTGTACGTATGTTCCGAATAGAAAATTCCATTTCTGAACCGATCCGGACCAAACTTGGCACACATACACTTCGGGCCCCGGCGGGTGTCATAGGCTACTTTTCGTATCGATCGATATCGATTTTGTCGATTTTTTGCAAAATTTGAGCTACGGGGCTGGGAGTTGGCACAGGGGGTAAGTGAGCATGGGGATTCCGAATACAATATTAGTTTTTAAAATCGTGCATTACTTTTATCGATTTTATCGATTTTTTGCAATATTTGAGCTAGGGGGCTGGAATTTGGCACAGGGGGGTAATCGAGCATGCTGATTACCCCCGTGGTGGTGATCAGCATGCTCGATTGCACCCCCCCCCCCCCCTGCCAGATTCCAGCCCCCTAGCTCAAACTTTGCAAAACAAATCGATAAAAGTAATGCACGGTTTCGAAAACTAATATTGTATTCGGAATCCCCATGCTCACTTACCCCCCTGTGCCAACTCCCAGCTCCGTAGCTCAAATTTTGCAAAAAATCGATAAAATCGACATCGATCGATAACGAAAAGTGGACTGTGACACCCGCCGGGGCCCGAAGGGTATGTGTGCCAAGTTTGGTCCGGATCGGTTAAGAAATGGAATTTTCTATTCGGAACATACGGCGGAGCCGGGTAAGCCAGCTAGTAACTCATATTCCCCCCCCCCCCCCCCCGAACATAATAGTCGTCAAATCTACTACAGGGATTACTGTGCTTGACAGCTAAAATCTAGACTAGTAGACAGCTTATGTTTTTTGAAAAGTACTAGGTTGGTGCAAAAGTAATGCGCGTTTTTCTAGCCCTTATTTCAAGACAGCTTTTCTCCATCGGTGTTTCTCCTATGAAACTTACACAGCATACTTTAAAGAAGCTTCTTTCATGCTCTATTCAATGGTTGTTAAAGAAGCTTCTAGCCTCAATCGTTAGAAATTTATAGAGCTTCATACAACCGCACTCGAAATCAGAATTTCATTGCATTTATTTTTTGGCCATAGTTTGAGCGCGAGTAAACGCATTCTTTTGAAAATTTAACTACTGTATGCAGTAGAAATTTTCTACGTTATGCATGCTTTGCTGTTATCCCAGAAATTAATTAGACTGAGATTTCGGTGCCCCAACCTGAGCGATGGTTTTGAACATTCTGTGGCCCATAAATTTCCTTTGAAGAAAGCAATCACCAAAGTTTTGCTCACTCCTGTAAGCGTAAGGGTAGACCTCCTGTTGACAGTTTTTGCAGAAATGTGGAGGCTTTTCAGTACACAGAAAATCAAAAATGTCCATACTTTGGGATTTTGAGGGCCACAAAAAATTGTCGAAAAAGCGGACAATTTTAAATATTATTTTTTCCTTTTCTCAAACCTTCTTTGTTTGAGCCCCTTTCAACTTTTATTTGTACTACTGGCTTGCGGCTACAAGATAGTCAACTTTTCATTTATACCAACAAATCGTGAAGGAAGTTATGATTAGTTAAAGACGAGGTTTCCGAAAAAAAATTTTTTTGCTTATCAATCCATATTTTTTCATCGTTTTGCGATGTTAGCACAAATTGATGTGCGCTGTATAGAGAGAGGTTTGGTGCCTCTGATGGATTTTGCCGCGCTGAAAAATATGGATTTTTTAGAAAGTTATAGCACGTCAAAATGAGAACTCGCAAAACGCGCATTACTTTTGCACCAACCTAAACGTTTAATGAAGATTTTGGCGATTAATTGCTCAGATGAAAAAGATTTTTTCTGAGTAATCAATTTCAAAATTTCTACTCTTTCTTGCATATTCCTCTGCATCTACACTCCTTTAAATCACAAATTAAACTGATGTTTTCAATCCCTTTCTACATGGTTCATCTTTATCTGAGAACGGTGATCCTCCTTCGCGCAAAATGCCTTATTTTCGGTTTTTCTGGATTCCGCAGTGAAAAAGCTATCGCATCCTCATTTATTTTATAGACTGGCACTGACACTGTATTGCTTATAAATTTAGTGAATTTACGAGCATAAGAAAAATACTGCTTACTTCCATCGGTCTCGCTTCCATATCATCAAGAAGCCCTGCCAATCGTGGCTTCGTTCGCAAATTGTCAGCGATGTACTGCTGGCTAGATGACAGGCGAATCTCCCTTGAGTAGCCTCCCAGTCCATACATTTCTTGCCTCTGAAAAACTCATAATTTTAAAAATGTTGATAGACTTTAATTCGAAATATCAAAGCGAAAAAAAAACAACCTTATGTCTGAAATACTTCTTCACTTGTCGAACTTCGTCTCGAATTTTCTGATCAATCTGCATAACGGTTCGCTTTTCGTCAACTAAGGCTGTGAGATGATCAGCCATGTCTTTCAACAGCTTTCTCTTCACCTAAAATTGAAGAGAATTGTACTCTTTTTGCATCCTTGATACCATTTTAGCACCCTTAACAAGCCCCTGATCAGAAAAAAAATTTGCTAAAAATGCAGCAGTAATCCATTTGTAGCCCAGATAATATTGCGCACAACACCCGTTGAAATGAAAATTCGCAGTTTAATTTGCAATAGTTTACAGATGGGGGGGGGCCTATATGAAAGCCGGAAGATTTTCAAAAGGGTGTTATAAAGTTATCGGAGTAATCTATTTGCGCAGGGCGCGGAGTTGCGTGTGCGCGTCACTCCTCTTTCCTCGTGCACTCTCGCCGCTCTTTTTCTCTGCGCCTCTCCAGTCATGGACTATTTTCAATAGTCGCAACAGCGTACTGCCCAGCATGGCGAGAGCGGTCTATATTTATGAAAAAACCAAAATACCAGGAGATTCCGGGGCATTGCTTATCGCTCTCCCTTATCGGAAATTTCATAGTCGCAAGCGCGATTTTGAGTTTTCGCAAAAGCTTCGAATAAACTGCAGTAGTCCCTTCGTTTGCAAAAAAAACCTGCCTCTCCCACATTTCCAAGCAAATTTTTTGCGCACAGTCAGAGCTTCCTTGAATTGAGTAAAGGATATCAGTAACGATGTTGTAAAGCGCAAGTTCCTGTCTGCACCAAAAAACGGAGAAAATTTTCAACAATCAATATAGAGACTATCTTATGCGGTAGACTAGGTGAACTAGCTCTTTAGGCTCCGATATTATCATCTGACAGATTTTAAGGAGTTCACCGATAAATCTCAACCTTACCACTGCACCAACTTTCATTGACCAATCATAATTTTTTCGCAATCAAGATAAATTTATTCTCATCATTCCTTCCGCAGTCAACTCTGAAAGCAGCCTCAGTTTGAGTTAAGGCAATGTTTCTGTCCTCTCTTTTCCCAAACTGCTCTCCTCTTCCTCCCTACCTGAGGTTTTGACTTTGAAAGTAGCTCCCTCACAACATTCTTTTAAAGAAAATAATATGTGGTTTTTCCTTTAATTCAAATTTACTACAAGATACCACATATTCCTGACTGACAAAATATTATTGACTGCACTGTAACGTACCTATGTTCTCCGTTTTGTTTCTCAAGTTACGCCTAAAGTGCCTGGCCAGCGCCGTGCTAGCGCCGTCGATCGATGAATCGGAGGCCTCTATGAGGGCGCTGGCATACGGACAATTCTGGGCCAGCCCAAGCATGCTTTCTGGCAGTTCTCATTTCACCAATTGAACTACGTGCCGGTCTATACCTATTTTTGCACAAAGTCTGCGAATTTTTTAAAAGGCAAGACCTTGGCATTGGATTTTGACGGAAGACAATGAACTTATGGATAGAATCGAAGTATAAACTCACAGCAATGGCATCCTTGGCTCTTCCACCTCCCTGCGAACTTTTATGGAACAGATCATAATTGGCGACGTACATCTCCGCAATATAATCAAGCTCTTTCCTGGCAAATCTAGCTGCTGATGCAACTGTCTGAAAAGCAATACAGGTCCTGAGGACAGAACTCATTAGGTCAAGCAGTGATTGCAAACCTCTTTAGGGTCATGTTCTGCATTTTCTCGACGGTCGGAACTATTATTAGGAGTGTCGCCAGATTCAGAGCACAAATCCTCGTCTTTTAGTGAACGTGTCTCTATTCTGTACGTTTCACTACTCTTCCTAGTCGATGGCATGCCTGTAAAGATTGATTATATCTTTTTTAAAATAATTCAAAACCCTAGGGCTGATGAGACAATGCGGTGAAGAAGACTGCAAGTAATTCATTGGAAATAAAACAAAAAATTTGATTTAAGGAACTGACAAAAAAGTTTGACACGAACTAGAACTTTAATAGATTACAAAGTCAAAGTCAATACAAGTTTCAGACTTAAGCCCATGCAGGACCGGCTTGTCCGATTTGGCAATCCGCCAACTGTAGGTATCAGTCATTGTCCAACTAACTGTAAGAAACACGAGCACGAGCGTACGCCTGATTGACAAGTTCATTGCGTTCTAACGCGTTTTGAATGATATGCTATTAGATATTCGTGAAGGAACACGTTCGAGCTCGTTAAACAACACCAGTTCTGACAGGTTAGTTCACGATCTTATATACAGGGTGTCCCAAAAAGATGTGCACACTGTTTGATCGTCAATAACTCTCCTGCTTTCATGTCTTTTGCCCAGCGCGAGGTGCCATTCTGTAGACCGAGGTTCAACTTAGATTTACAGTATAGAGCAAAACACCTGTCACTCTTCATTACTGTAGGATTACGGTGTGAACTTCCAGCCTACAGCGTCACTGTGAAATAGGCCTTTCGATGAATTAAATTCAAAAAAATCTGAAAATTTGTATGGCAAGGTTTTCAGACGTGCTGATTTCACTACATGACTTTTCATGAGTTTTTGGAGCTTTCTTGATGGCGTATTCACATTTCTGATGAACATTGGAAAAGCAGTTGTTACCCTAAATCTGAAAAAATTTATGAAAAAAGCGCTGTACTAAAGTGCAAATTTCATGTTTAGACTTAGCGTCTTCGATTAGCCCATGCAAGAGTTTCTGGCTTGTTTGGCTTTCTCTCTGAGGCAAATTACCGGCAAAATACCATTTTCAATGGCTCAAAATCCTCCTCGAAATTTCTACCGTAATTCTACAGTAATGAAGAGTGATTGGTGATTCGCTCCACATAGCAAATCTAAGTTGAACCTTGGTCTACAGAATGGCACCTTAAGCTCGGCAAAAGACATGAAAGCAGGAGACTTATTAACGATTAAACAGTGTGCACATCTTTTTGGGACACCCTGTATAAAGCTGAATGTATGTCTGTCTGTCTGTATGTCTGTCTGTATGTCTGTACGTATGTGCGGAATAGAAATTTTTATTTCTGAACCGATTTGGACCAAACTTGGCACACATATACTTTGGGGTAGGGAGCGTGTCATAGGCTACTTTTCGTTATCGATCGATATCGATTTTATCGATTTTTTGCAAAATTTGAGCTACGGGGCTGGGAGTTGGCACAGGGGGGTAATCGAGCATGCTGATTACGAATATAATAATGACAGGGCCGGGCGGAGCCGGGTTTGCCAGCTAGTTTCTAATATACAGGGTGTTCGTAAAGTATGTATACACTGTTTGATCGTTAATATCTTTCTTCCCAACAAATCTTTTGCCTTGCTTCAGGTACCGTTTTGTACAGCTGGTTTCAACTTAGATTTGCAGTATAGAACGAGTCACCCATCTCTCTTCATTACTGTAAGATTACGGTAGAATCAAAGAGAGTTTTGAGCCATGAAAGGCCATATTTCGCCTCAGAAAGGAAACAAAACAGCCTGAAAGCTTTTACACTAGGCTAATTAGAGTTGTTGATTCTAACTGTAACATTTTCAACTTATTATGATGCTTCATTGGAGAGTTATGCCGGGTAAGAGGTAGCGGCCATTTTTTCAATGTCCCTAAAAAGTGCGGTTACACCGTTTAAAAAGCTTAGCAATCTTGTAAATAGTTGAGTATTGAGCTCAGCGTCCATAAAAACCCTACTACACAAATTTTCACTTTTTTTTTGAAAGAATTTGAGACGGCAGCTTTTTCCACATTGACAACATGTGTTTCAAGTTTCTACCGTGATCCTACAGTAATGAAGAGAAACGGTGATTTGCTCCATACTTTAAATCTAAGTTTAAGCCAGCTCTACAAAACGGTACCCCAAGCAAGGCAAAAGACTTGTTGGGAAGAAATATATTAACGATCGAACAGTGTATATATACTTTAAGGGCACCCTGTATAAAGAATCGCAACGCCAATACAAAAACATTAGACAGTGGAGAATCGCGGTGCGTTCCCGAGGCGTGCGGATGCAAATCTAGCACTTTTAATAACTTGTGCACTAGTTGCAAAAATAATATTACTTTTTCAAAAGCAGTCATAAACTTGTTAAAGGCAGTGGCTCAAAAAAGTGCGCATTCGAGCTTTTCGCACCTATATGACCTTTTGAATCCGCTGAGTCCGAGATTGCGCTCGAATTGTCAAAGTAGTGCTTTTCTGACGTTTTCCGTCCTTGGAGATAGCTGAGCGGGCTGGAGTGGAGATTCCCGCCAAAAATAGTGGCTGGCTGCAGAAGACTGTAACACCACTCATTTTGGAGGCAATTGGTTGATGGGCCCAGGAAGCCAATTGCGACTTGGTGGGCGGGAATCTTCGCTCCAACCCGCTCAGCAACCTGCAAGGCTGGAAAATGCCAGAAAGGCCTTTTTTTGACTTTTCAAACATAGTCTCTATCTCAGCGAATCCAGAAGGCCATGTAGGTGCAAAAAGCTCAAATTCGCAATTTTCCCGAGCCACTGCCTTAATCAGAAGTGCGCAAAGCGTGCTCATGTCTCTTAGTCACACTATGTATGTAAGGGACCGGCCATACTATTCCTGTGATTCCTGCAATTCTGCGATTCCCGCGATTCCTGCGAGTCCCGTAACAACGTATATTGCGAAAAAACAATGTATATATACTGGAATTCGCCAAGCGCTTCATAATGCGGTACATCGGAAGTCGAGGAATCAGGAACTGTAGGAATTACAGGAGTCGCAAAAATCACCTCCTGGAGTAGTATGGCCGATCCCTAAGATCCAAATATTCAAATCTGATAGAACAAATTAATTTCCAGAATTAGGGCGAAGTTGCAAGAAGAACTATTTGAGGTCACAAGTAAAAAAGTACAGATTTTCCCGAATTACATAGAAACACTAGAAAAAACATGCAATGTTGACCCATCTTTGCAGGTCCGCGTTTCCTGACCTCTCCCCTCGCTCATGTAACGTACAGCCATAGTACACGTTCCATTTCCTGCACTTTCGGCGTCATCCGTTACATCCTTGTCGGACGGCATTTTGCACGGTTTTTGCACTAGGCTCTCCCTGGCTGCGCACAAGAGCCAGGCGCAGGAAGCAATCAGCTGATTTTCTCATTGTCAGATGTCCGATCCATTTCGGAAACGGTTCCACCTCCTTAGTGCTATTCAGGGCCTTTGCTAAGCGTCCAAACTATGGGGCATTCGTAAAATCGTGACGATAGCCCAACCGCGCGCGATACGCACGCACTACCGGCAACCGCATTTCCCTGGTTCTTATCTCTACTCGAATATTTTTTCTGGTTTTACATATGATAGTATTTGGACAATGGAAATGACTGTGCTGAAAGTTGAGGTGGAACTTCTCGTATAAGTGTTTTCTGTTCCTGTGGGCACAAAGACCGCAGTCAAATCCGTCGTCACAGTTTTACGAATTACCTATATAGCGTATTTCAATATATGTCGCTATGTTTGGTTTTGGACATCTTGCCCTCATATCTTCCGTCAATTTGTAGGTACTAAATTTCAATGCTGGCTTGGACATAGATTCACAGTATGGAGTGGAGTACCGAAGTCGCTTCGTTGCGGATTACGGTAGTAAACTTGTTGAAAAAGTTCAAAACTGAGAATTTTGTGGTATATCAAAGTCACCAACTTTAAGAATAAGTACTGCGCGTTACCGCAAACCTTTGCTCGAGAAAAACGCCTGAACCGGGGCCAGTGTTCCCAAATTTGTTTGGAACTCTAATGAGATCATCTTAACTGCTTTGTATACCTGCATAAAGCTGTTTCTAAATCAGCGCTTCTTGAAACCCCAGCACAATTTTACAGTATTTTGGAAATTTTCTGGATCTGCAGCAAAGCAAGACCTTGGTGTTTTTTCTTTACCTATAGTAAAAAGGAGCATTCACTGCTTTGCTTCTCAAGTCTTATTGTATCCAGCTTTACAAAAGGCAAGCGATATTCTGAACCAAATATAGGGATATTTTTTGTAACGCCTTATATGTTCTCTTCGATCTGCTTTCCTCTGTTTTTGTTCATGTCCCGCAAAGTATAAAAGAAGGAGATGGAGAAAATTGCATTCGAGAGAATCAAGCCACTGCTTGTTGACTCAAAGGTGAATAAAGTATAATATAATACAATCTTTAATCAGAATCAAAATTTTTCAGACTAGCCCTCGGATGTTGAGTTTATAGTCACCTCAGAGAAGTTGTAAAACAAGAGATGTCAGGTGAGAGAGAGTAAAATAAAAACTTTTCATGTGGAAGAGTTAATATTTTGAATGTATAGTTTGTATAAGCTTTTTCAAGAATAGCCGACAATTTTTTTAGCATATTTGCCATGACGCTAGAACAGGTTACATACAAAAATGCGGATACATCTTGTTAAGTTGTTATTAGTTTTCCGATGTTATCACGCTATCCTCGAGTCATTTGTAACTTGATCCGTGAGTCTGCATACTATGAGAGCACCACCCAACTACAACCTCATTAGTAACTTTCAGTGAAGCCTTTTCTAGCTTGAAAAACGTAATAAAAGTGCACTAGCTAATACATATTTAAAGAAATCAAAATAAACAAAAAATCAAGGAGAAATCACTTAAAAGGAGCAGTGTTTAATCTTACAAGTTGTCGATTAGAGCAAATAGTGTGCATTACACATGTACGATATGTGAACGTCACATCATTTCAAAAAGATTATTTGTGATGCGCATGTTTGTGAATAAGCGAATTTATTTAGATATTTTCGATTTGAGCTAAATCTGTAGTCTCGGAGAATTGTCTGCTCGGCTTTTGCATTTTTCGCGAGCTGTCATCCTGGCTCCAAAACTTTGCTCGCCATTTGGTCCTAGTTTCCGTTTCTCAGCTGTTTTAAAATGATCCTGCAAAATTACAGGGTGTCCCAAAAGTCTTGTAGCCTAAGTCACTGCTAAAACTTATAAATCAATGGTGTTTTCGATCAAATTTAAACCACAAAGTGCTGCAATCATTCTTTACAGAATACATGTTTGCGATTCTAAATTGAACTTACATGTCTTAAAAAAATAAAATATCAAATCATTATTTTTGAGAGCACAAAAATCTGTTTTGTTTTACAATTTATGCCGTAAAACTTGAAGTATTTTGAATGCTTGTACAAATTTATGTCTACAATACAGAGAAGGCTTAATACTACCATTAATTGAATCGAAAAAGACAGGAAAATCCGGGAACATCAAGTGCATGCCACATCCACTATGTCTTTAAAATAATTTCCATAAATGTAAAAGTGGAGCAGTCTCTGGATCTATATTAAATTTCTTTTCGTATGTCTTCAGAAGATAATCTAGTCCAAGGCGAGTGATAAAATCACTATCGAAACAACGTCCAAGTCGAATTTCTGTTTTAACTTCCCGCGATTGTGTTTAAGCTACAGCATGTGGTACACATCATTGCGGTTAAAGTCCCACACTTTCAACTCTAGATTTTACAAAAAAAAAATCTCATTGCAGTATGTCGTAGTTGGAAGCTTGCTCTATCAAATGACACATTTTTGAGGCGTAGGAATCATTTCCGTAAAGGTGTGGGACGAAATTTGAAACGACTACCTGCTTGCCACGGCAGTGGCAGTCGCCTAAAGTTTGAGTGCTTGTGTTAGCGAGAAAAATATAATTTCAAGATTTGAAAGGTGTGTCGTATCTGCTAATGTTTGAGTAATATGTGCACCAATTTCTATGTTGTTCCGTTATGTTTTTATCAAAAAAAATTTCTGGCCTACATGACCTTTGGGACACCCAGTACATTCTCTCAAAGGCCTTCCAAGTCTAAATTGAAGCTCGCACCCGCAAAGTTCTGTTTTATTGTTATTTGAATAAAAGCTCCATCAAAAAAACTCCTTTATGAACTACTCCGATTTCTTTCCCAATTTCCACTCCCGATTTTTCGACGCGGGTTCTCATAAATTCAATACGTATTGTTTTTTTAATAGGGTGGCGAATCCTTGAAATTTTTATTTTCTAATTTATTTTTTGCATGCAGTGATTTCAAATTTGATAGAAATCTGCCATTTTGAAACAACGGTAAACGTTTCAAATTTAGTTTTTCAGATGAAATGAGATATAAAAAAGTGCGGAAAGTGCAATTTTTATGATGCTTTAATGTGATGGCTTCGCAAGCTTTTCCGTATCTGGAAATTTGTACAGATAAGGAGAGCGGTGGACGACATCGCCAGGACCAGAAACAAGGCAACGACAAGGCAAAGGAAAGTTTCAAAGGACGAAAGGGAGTTCTCTTAGATGAAATCTCCTTTTAGAGTTGAAAAGCTTTTCTTCTGCCGCTGTTGTGGAACCAACCATGTCCAACTTAGGTTTTGATAACATTTCTTCCAAAGAAAGCACAAGTAACTGCCATTTTTGAAGCTCTGCTAAAAGACTTAGGTGCTATGGGCAAGACAGAATTGAATAGAACTGAAAAAAAACACGGAATGGTACTTTGTGAATGAAATTCATATGTTTCTGTGGAACCGGACAGAGCTGATAAAAACAAACATTTGAGATAGAAGAGACGACTTAAACGCAGCCTACAACAGGGCTCGGCACGAGCTGGCACCAAGGAAATTTTAAAACGAAGTCCCCCTTGATTTTCGCTAAGTTTTACGAAGTCCCCTTTGACCCTAAACCCTAAACCTAACTCCCTCCCCCCCCCCCCCCCCCCAAAAAACGAAACATTAAAACGCCGCAATTTGTCGATAAAAACGATATCCCCTTCACTTTTTGTCCCAAAAACGGTATCCAGCATGCCCCGTGCCAGCTGGTGCCAGGCCCTGGCCTACAATGAAAATGAATTTTTCCAGAGCGTGTAAGACTGATTGTAGAAGAAGTTGATGGATAGTAAAATAGTAAGATGCAAAAATTTCAGTTGGTGCTGCGTTTTCCAGAAAATGTTTTCCTGTAGGGACTTCAGATTGTGGGAATTCTGGCAGATAGATTGTTGAGATCATGACAGTAATGATTCGAGCTAAAGAGCAAGAAAACAAACTATCTAAAACTCCTGATTATGGATTGTGGTTAATAGCGACGTATATAATTCAGGGAGATTAGTTCTATAGTCAAGCGGATTTCATCGTAGCGCGCAAAAGTGCCGTCTTCCTCCTTTTTCAATAATTTTTGCAAATTTTCAAAGATTCTTTTACGCCTTATATTCTTATCTTTTGCCTGAGTAAAATTGCAAAATTTTATCAAAAAATTACTTTGCTCCAAGTTCCTAAAACCCCAACAGTCATGAATTCGATCTTTGTTGTTCTCCGCTAAGAGCGTAAAATAGAAAAAAATAATTTTTTTGATGTATACGAAGGACTGGATAAAAAGCAGGAAATGTACGTAATTCCGAAGAGAAAATGCTCCGCAATTAGCACAAAAATTACTATGGATCTTTCTGTCTCCTAAGGACAGGGGTTTTGATCACTCTATATTGCTAAGCAAAAATTATACGCAATTGTGTCAGACATCCAATTTTTAACTTGAATAAATCTTAAAAATTGAATTAGAGTCTAATAGAGCCGCGAAAAATAACAATTTCCCAGACTTTATTTGAGCGCGTACTTTTCACACATCCCTATCAAGGATATAGAAATTACTAGTAAATTTAGAACCAGGGGAAAAATCTATAAGCTGGCCAATTTAATCGAAAAATTGAACCTTGACAAGTGGTTACCCAAAATTTCATACCGCTCCAAATTCTATCTACCAAAATTCATTAGATCAGGTTATTTGACCGAAATCGCATCATGGACACTTCTTTCAAAAGTGTAATGCTCAGCCAGTTACTGGAGTCAAAAAATTTACCCACCCGGTTAAATCACATATCCGATGGCCGTAAAAATGAATGCACGAAGCAACCTTGCAGAAAAACTCAACCTCCCCCCCCTTCCGTGGAAAGTCAATGTGATGACAGCATTCCCACCCCCCCCCCCCCCTGAATGAGTATAGAAGTTGCTGAATGAATTGAATGGAGGGATAGCCTTCCACGAAGTGGAACGAAGCATGGCGGCGTATCGATTGTCGGGGTCGGGGCCCACGCGTGGAATCCCCACGGGTGGGCGGCCGGACACGGCGTGTATGCGAAAAGTGGTGTGAGAGCGATGGACAGAGAGCCCGTTTTTCCCTGCATAGGAGACACGGCCGGTGATTGCACTCCACTTCAGGGTTATGACAGTAATTGTGGAGATTAGTTGACGAGTAGATTGGGGAAGAGGGGGAGGGAGAGGAAAAGGGGAAGTCGCCACTTTTGAAGGCAAAAAACTGAGCAAGTTTGTTGAAAGAAGGCAGCTGCTTTCTCATAAAACCATGATTTCTAGCAAGTGCTTTCTTGTTCGCTCGTTTTAAGCACATATGGCTCGTAAGACAAAAATTTGGATCATTTCCACAATTGGCCAACTGCCAAGGAAATTAGATATCAGGGACCTGTTACAGAAAGTCGGTACCTTGACATTGCTGGTTGACTGCTCATGTCCAAACGGGCTTCATTTTCTATTTTCTCAATAATTTTGACCTCTTAATCTTTTTCTTATGATTAGATTAGGAATTTATAAACATTATCATGCACCTTCATAAGGTTTTTCTGCTTCCTTTTGGCATAACCTAACATAATTTATTTCATTTATATAAAGGCTGCAACAAGCACTTCACAATGCTTCTTTTCTGCAAAAACTAGAATTGACCAAGCAGCCTGCAAGTAATACTGGTTGACGGTAGGCAAACGATTGTGCACGCGCTGGGTACGTGATTATGCGTCGATGCTCAGATTCGAATTCTGCTTGCTTCTTGGCGTTTTGTTGTTCTACAGTTTTTGGCTCTGTTTTTAGAATGTACGTCCGAATACATCTTATGTCGAAAGCGAAAGTTATATTGTGTAGTTGCTTGCAAGTAATTTATGTGTGCATTTTCAGTCAAAATGATGTCTGCACGCAAAGTCCAGAAGGTTATGGTGCAACCCATTAACTTGATTTTCCGGTACGTATCTGTTTACCTTTTAAGTATCACAAATTTTGAGCTTTAGGTATTGCATCGATTTGTTATATGAATTTAGATACCTGCAAAATCGTACGAGAATCCAAATTTGGCTATACGAGGATGTCACACATCGTATCGAAGGATATATCATTGGTAAGCGACCATGATTTGGCATCGATTTCTCAAAATTTTTATGTATGTTGTATTTTTTTCGGAGAGTTTTTCGTTCTCTTGTTGAAGAAAGTCTTTTCATCGCTTCTATTTCCCATTTGATTGCGCAATTCCTTCTTTTCGCTATTGTGAGGACGATAATGGGAGCATTTTTTGATTGAAATCACAGTGGCTCTTTTTGCAAAGAGGTGGTGTGATTCTCAGATAAAAAATGTGCAAGTGATTTTTGTGAATATTTGGCCTAGTTCACTCAAATGAGATTCGAGTTTCGTCAAAATTCTGTCCAAAAAGATTTTGTATCTGTCGCATATACAACATCTAGTATCCCGTATATATCTCACTGAGTGTGCTTCGTAGGCTGAATTTTCTGCGTTTACGAATATCGCGCAGGAAATACGATATGAGCATTCAATCATAAGTGATCACCTGTGACTGGAACGCTTAGCGAAGGTTACCGGCATACTTCCATATCAGCCACATTATTGCTCGAGAATTCGACGCTTTTTGCTTTCGCATACGCCTAATAACGCTGTAAGATTATTGAGATGTTTTTGATTCGTTGCACATTCGAAGTTTTGTTTTCAGGTTTCGATGAGTACATGAACGTCGTTTTGGACGAGGCCGAAGAGCTCAACATGAAAACGCAAAGCCGTAACAAGTTGGGTCGCATTCTGCTCAAAGGTGACAATATCACAATGATCCACGCTGTTACCGTCTGAGGACTGGTCTATCGTAGCATTCAATCTATTTGGCTCATGTGTTGTTACCGGATCTCCGTTTCCGTGTGTTGAATTTGGATTTTTGTTTGTTCAAGATTTGATATGCTGAAGTAAACTCTTTTTAGCGCAAGCTGTAGTTTTTTGGTACCTATATTTGTTTTAGTCAAGTGCAGTGCCTGAAGTCTTCGAACTTATTGAGTTATCTTCTTTTATGGGCTTTATCAGAATGATCGTCAGCATAGAAGCTTTGCTACTCCTTTTGTTCTCTGTCGTTCATGTTTATAGTATTCTTAACGCCGGTATCCAGCTTCGGATTGAGGAGCTTTTTGATACACCAGTGCACACTAACAACTGGGCTGTAAGTTATTCAAAGTGTTAAATTCCGTTCTTGAGTCTGATTCTGTGATTGTGATCGGTGCTATGCAGGTATTGGTGTGCACATCACGTTTTTGGTTCAACTATCGACACGTGTCAAATGTACTTGCTTTGTATCACAGCGTCAAGAGGCTGGGTATACCTGACAGGTAAGAGTAAGGGTTACAATGTGCGAAGATTTATTCTCTTGGTAGCAAAAGTACGGGTTCGGGAACATTGCACGTTATATTGGGAACCCGGAACGCGCATCTGTCAGTATATGTGCAAAATATAGATTCGAGAAAGGAAAGTAGGCTACGAAAACGCGGTTCTGACTTTCCTGGCCGGGTAAGAGCTGTCGATTTTGCCCATATAACATCACCAGTGTAGCTTCTAGGGTGTTCTCTCACAAGATTTTTAGCCGTAGTCTTGAACAGGAAATAAGGGACTCGGAGTTGAAGTTTTTGAAGCTGGAAGTCATCACCGTTGCTTGCACGTCATTTGCCACCTTTCATTCCAATAAACCCCAGAAGTAATTAACTTAGTCATTTAGGCTTGGGAAGGGCGATGCGTGTAAGAAAGGTTGTGAGTGGTAGTTGTAAAAAAAAAACTCTTAGTGTAGCGCATTTAGCACAGAATAAAAACCTGACGATACGAAAAAACTTTCCAGAAGGGTGCAAGGTTATGATTTTGACCAAAACATATCTCTTTCAGCAATATAATTCTGATGCTTGCGGAAGACGTTCCATGCAATCCAAGAAACCCGCGACCAGGCGAGTAGATTCGATTTCACTTACAACTTTTCATAGCAACTCCTCTTTCTTTTGTGAAACGCATAAGCGACATATAACCCCCTTTCTTACTTTTTTATTTATTTTGAAAACTGGCAAATATCGAATTCTTGCCGTATATCTATTCATGTAATATAGTTCTCACTATCTCATTTTTTAAATGTCATCCCGCTGAATTTTATGTGGGGAAACTACAGATTTTTTGAAATAAAAGTTTTTCGTTTTGATCAACCGTCACTCTTACTTCCTTTCTGCACTCACACAAATTCGTATGTGCTTGTATTTTTCGTAGATCTGTCACAATTTTTTGTTAGCGCAAATATAGATTGGTTCTGTCTTTCCCGTACGGCCGGTCCATGCTTCTACGAATTCCTTTTCTCTTACAATTATCATTTCGCGGACCAGTTTGATGTGGCGACGTCGTAATTACTCATTGTATCGTATGTATTGCCCAGCTAATCAGCTAGCTAACAAGTTCACTTTCCAATTCAACAAAATATGAAACAGACACCTTTTACAACGTCTCTTCTAGTTTCTCGGCTGTACTGGATAGAACACATTCATTCCTTAAACAATTTATTGCGATTGCTGCACCATCACTTGATAGCTAGATTTTGAATATGGTGAAATATCAATCTTTGATCACTTAACTCTTTTTTTTTACAATGCGCTAATCAATCTGCCGCCTTCTATTCTCCATGTGTACCGTATTCTCCCATCTTTGAATCAGCTGGTGATCTACGTACGTATGCTTCTCTTCTTGAGTCGTCTCTCCGGTATTAGTCTTCGTTTTATATGTGGTCTGCTCTGTTGTCAGATAATCGACTTCAGCGACATCGCAGCCTGAATTTCATTTATTTTTATATTTAAATTGTAGTATTCAATACTTACAAGGTGGCATTCTGTCGAACAGAGGGTTTTGCTCAAGTCTTATGCGTTTTATCATTTGTGGGTCGCTTCTTTCTACTGTAGTCAGAACTATCTGATGTGGTTCGTTAGCTTTCCATACTTCGATATCCTTAATCAATCATTATTTGACCGCTAATTAGAGAAAATCATAAGACTTACTTGTTTCTTCACTTTTTTATACAAAGTCCTGGCATCTACTTCTTTGACCTTATGCTTTTCACATTTGATGAGAACTACCTGAATATCCCTATGGCCTTAAACTATCGACAAATCCTCCCCGCTAACCTTAAGAGGAGTTATTTTTGGTATCCGATATTCAACAGCCAGATGTTTTCCATATGCGATTGTGAAAACGAGTGTTTCCCATAAAGGTTTCAAAACTTCTGCATGTAATGGCCCTTGTGGAGGTAGCATCAGATGCGCACAAGCAGTTTTCCTTATGATTTTTTGCTTCTGAAATGACTCTTCTCGTTGCTACAATGCGCAGTCCGAATTGATTGGGTTAGCTAACCTTGACTCTTTGTTTTGGCGGTAAGCAGAATGCGCTAACATTGAGAATTGGAGTATTTATGATATGTTGTATAGTTGCCACTCGAGCTAATAGTGCAGGCATAGTGAATGTACATTGTACAGGTGTTTCTGCTGTTGGAGCTAAAAGATACCGAGCGGAATAACCCTGAAAATAGAGAATACGGGCCAACAATAGTTTCAGCGTTTGCCATACGCACCGTATAAACCGGCTGAGACTATAGAAGAGGCGCACTAAATGACGGGCATTTGGCATTTGGAGTTGAGCGATGTACTGTTAGTTGTAGATCTCAACAACGGATGATGTAACGGTTGAATATGAGTTGAAACCTATCTTGCCATTTGGTTAGGATAAACAGTTATCATTGCGGAGTCCATTGCGTATGCCGCGCTCGTTCTCGCCTACGCGACACCAAATGTCAAATGCCCGCCATTTAGTGCGCCACTTCTGCTCAGTCGGTTCTGAACCAGTACATACCATCTCAGCTTTCCAATATACCACTTTTTCTTTGGGGGTCGACAAGTGTGTTCCAGAAACTTTAGCACATATGGCTCTTTGAATAGGGTTGCAACGTAGAAATAGTGGGCTCAACACTGGCACACTAGCATTTGGGACAACCTGGATTGTCAAACTCGTCTCTTTCATATTTGGAAGAACACTTTTACCATCTTGGGCCTATTCTTTGCTGTTCGATCTTTGCTGCCGTATTTTGGCTCTGCGCTTCCAGATGGAACTGATTCCTCATTGGTATACGTTATGGTCGTATGAGTAACAGTGGTGTTCGGGTCAGCCTGATACTGATGACTTTCTACGACGGAGGTGGTCACGCCAACTCCAGAACCACTTTCAGATGTTGATTGTGGCATCAATCTATCTTGGACAGGTGGTGGGCTAAAATCTTTATTCTACGTTTTTGGGGGCAGCGTTCATGCAAATTTGTTTGGTTTTCTTTCTTGGGAATTGATTAGGAGGCCTTCATTAAGCAATTGCTTAGGCAACAGCTCATACGATGCCTTTGTGGCTGAGAAATGCAACTCTAAACTTTCGCCCAGACCGTACAATCTACCGTGTAGAAGACTTCGAAGGAATCTGGGCGAGGGTTTCGATTTGCATCTCTGAGCCGCCAATGAGCATATGAGCTGCCGCTTGAGCACTGACTTAACTTAGCCCTCCAGTCGTGCCTACATAAGAAGTTCAGGCACTCAGATTTGTCTAAACACTTTCTAACTTTGAAGGAGCTTGTGCTTACAGATAAGATTCTGTCGTGGCGATGTCCACCTCCGCGCCTGTCATCGGGGTTGTGGTCGTCTCTACGGTACTAACGTACTCGGAATCAGATTGAGATTCTGTAATCTTGGAATCTGAGGTCATTAGAGGTTGATGTTAAAGGACTTTGTACCATTTCCACTTTGAGTCATTCTTGTCTTCCGTGTGGCACGCATAACCACCTGCAAAGGCGAACGATTTTATGGTTTGGAGGCCGGCCTGGCACTAGAGCAGTACTTGTTTTGTCTTGGATCGACTTCCATCGCTGTCTTTAGCGGTAGCTTTGCCGGCTCTACGACGATCCATTGTGCTGTCCAGAAGGCAACCGTCTGCTTAGAACATAGAGTAGCAAGTGAAGTGGAAGTGCTTATTGCTAACTCTACTCTTCTATTTGTCCAATAACGCACTTGTCCGGATATCATTCGGTAACTCTCACAGTCAAAGTTTATAGTTGATAGGATGTCAAAAAGAAGTACTAGGAAATTCTTATAACTTGTGAGAAAAGGCCTGACACTTGAAGGAGCTTGCAAAGTTTTCTTTAAGATATAACTTTGAATGTGAGATTATTCTCGGCATTGTTTCCTGTCAAAAATCATTCGAAGTCATCCACTGCTATTCGCAAATATGGAAACTACTCCATTTGTCAACCTTAACTCTTGTATGGGAGTTCATGTATCTCATTGTCTAACAAAATGGTGCACGTACTTGTTTTTGAAGCCATTTGTCTTTAGAGATCGTGTCATAGGTTTTGTGACACTTTTTTTTCGTTGCTCGAAAAGGAAACTTTAGCAAAGTCTAATATTTGGCACGTATGGGCAATGGACGAAGGACTAACTGTTGAAATCATTTCCACCTTCACAGATATGCAGTGTGACAATTTTGCGACGGTACATACTGCAACATTTTTTTCTTCTTTCTCAAAACTCTCTCCTTGTTTTTTTTATGGATTTCGGGGACATAGATACCAATATGAAGGTATATTGCAAGTCTAGGCCATAACGCAAGCTGGACTTTGGCCAAAAATAATCCAGAAAATAGTCATAAATTTCAAAAATTGGATTTTATCTGTGTGACATATGTATCTGTAGTACTGAGAAGCTGCAACCCTCAATCAATCTGGATGAGGAAAAATTCTTTGAAAATAGTTATGAAGGTTTTTTCTTTGAAGTGTAACGATACATATGTACGTTACGAACATATTAATGCAGCAACTCCGATTACCTAGAATGAGATTAGCAATGGCGATAGGCTTACAAAAAACCGACACTCTCATTCTCATCTGTACTTAGTAAACTCACTGCTAAGTCAATTGTTCCAGTAATACTTAATTTTGGCGTTTTCCATTTACTATGGAAAACGCCAAAATTAAGTAATTTGTCAATTTTCGCGAAAATCATAACCTCTCACAGAGACGTCCAAACAGCACAAACTTTTCAACTTTCTAAAGCTTCAAACTGAATGAGAAGAGATATTTTATTTTTGCAACTCTTCATCATGTATCTTCGTTTTGTAGGCACAGTATATGCTGCCCGAGCCGGTAACAATCTCTATGGCACAGATGTTGAAGTAGATTACCGTGGAGAGGAAGTTACTGTAGAAAACTTCATACGTCTGTTGACCGGTCGACATCATCCAGCTACACCACGATCGAAACGTTTACTGACTGATCATCAAAGCAATGTTTTGGTTAGTTCGTTATTACAAAGTAAGCCTCCAGATTTTCGCTGAGAAATAACTGCTTTTCAAATCTATCTTACTGGCCATGGCGGTGATAGTTTTTTGAAATTCCAAGATGCCGAAGAATTAACGAATGTCGATCTCGCCTATGCAATTCAGACTATGTACGAGGATAATAGGTGAGTTTATCTCAGAGATAGCGAAAAAGGTGTCCGTAAAGTATGTATACACTGTTTAATCGTTATTATCTCTTTTCCCATGAAGTTTTTTGCCTTGCTTCAGTTACCATTTTGTAGAGCTGGCTTCAACTTAGATTTCGATATGGAGCGGATCACCCATCTCTCTTCATTATTGTAGGATTACGGTGGAAGCTTCAAAGAGGGTTTTGAGCCATGAAAGGCCATATTTTGCCTCAGAAAGGAAACAAAACAGCCGAAAACTTTTACAATAGGCTAATTAGAGTTGCTGATTCTAATTGTAAATTTCCCAACTTTTTATGATGCTTCATTGAAGAGTCATGCCAGGTAAGAGGTAGCGGCCATTTTTTCAATGTTCCTAAAAAGTGCGGTTACACCGTTTAGAAAGCTTTACAACCTTGTGAATAGTTGAGTATTGAACTCAGCGTCCATAAAAACCCTGTTATACAAGTTTTCACATTATTTTGAAAAATGTTGAAACGGCAGCTTTTTCCGCATTGACACCATACGTTTCAGGTTTCTACCGTAATCCTACAGTAATGAAGAGCGATCGGTGATTTGCTCCATACCGTAAACCTAAGTTGAAGCCAGCTCAAAATGGTACCTCAAGCAAGGCAAAAGGCTTGTTGGGAAGAAAGATATTAACCATCGAACAGTGTATACATACTTTACGGACACCCTGTATGTTGACCTCCATATGTGTTCAAAATTGACGGCTTTGACGGGGATCTGCTTGGATTGGTAACGCTTCTGTTTTGACGTTTGCGTAAAGTGATGTTAATATTTTCTACCATTTGTAACGAACTTTGAGAATTCGAAATTTGGAGGGCTCGTCATGCCTCTCTGTAAAATTTATTGTCTCCCTTCCTAGAAAATCTGATACCATAACTGCTGGCAACATGTGTGGCTTGTACGAAGAAGGATAGGGCTGTGCAGAGTTATTCTTGATTGCAAATCAACCTGCACTAACAACCATTTCTAGGTACAATGAATTATTTCTGATCGCGGACACCTGCCGCAGTGCATCGATGTATGAATGGGTGGCAAGTCCAGGTGTATTGTCGACAAGTAGTAGTCTGACTCACGAAGAAAGCTATTCTTATGATGTCGATGATGATATTGGAGTCTATGTGATAGATAGGTGATTCTCTGCCATATTTTTACAAGCGATCTTTCTCATTCCGAGGTTATTCTATCGAGGAGACTTTCTGCTGGTTCAGTAACTAAAAGGTTTGAGATGTAAAATCGGAGCTGGAGAGGGGGGGGGGGCGAAACCAAAGGCAATGTGCAGGCAAAGTTGATTGAGTAGATCTCTTGCATGAATTCTGATTGACCTCAAATTGCCGAAGCAGCAGCTCATCTCATCTGTTCTTGAATGGGAAATCCTAGTGAAGTACATGCCCAGTATCGTACTCAAGAATGTTGGTTCAGCTGCTCATTTCGTCTATTTTTGAACGAGAAATCCTAGTGTAGGTACATGCCCAGTACCGTACTCGAGAATGTTGGTTCAGCTGCTCATTTCGTCTATTTTTGAACGAGAAATCCTAGTGTAGGTACATGCCCAGTACCGTACTCGAGAATGTTGATCCGCTTGGAAGTACGGTCTTGTGGATACTGTTGTTTTTAACAAGGGGTGAAATTCATGAGCAGGATTTGAGCAACCGCGTAATTAATACAAGGAAAGTGATGTCGACGACGTAGTACTTACGAGTGAATCTGATTTCTTTTAAAGTGCTTCAGTTGCTCAGAGTACTGTACTGGGCGAAAATCGGAGTAGTTTTCCAGCCACGAAAATACCTATGTAGGTTGAGCATTGGCGTGATCAAAGCCTCTCAATCAGTATCCACATAGAAATCCTAAACTCGGATTTGTTTGTATATTTCCTCCAGAAAATCTTTGCATCATATATTTGCTCATCGTATGCATAACTGCTATCATTTTTCAGATATACCCACTTCACTGTCGCTTTTTTGAATCGTGAGGTAACGGCATTGAATTCCACGGCGACGATGCAGGATTACCTAGACTCTTGTTCTCGTCGCCAATGCATGTCCACAGTTGGTGAGTAGCGTTCAAGTCTGCGACAGAAAACCTTAGTAGTAGCTGCACTATAAAATGTTAATAACTTGAACTTAGTTTAGTTGCACTTTCGAAGCAAAAACAGCATTTAGGCAGTGTTAAATATCAAAAAGGAAAGATACTGTTATACATAAGAGAGCGACATTTGTGACAAAGACGAAGGAAATGAGACTATTATAATGAGCTAGCTCACATAGGAACTTGAAGACGTAACGTGTGACATTTCTGCAGCTCATAATTCGAGAAAAAAGTGCGCACTCTCCTCTGATGTTGATCCCCAAAGCTGGTCTTAGGAGTTCTAGATTTTAGTAATTTCACAGATTTTGCAAAGATTAGTTATTAGAAAGAAGTAATTTTTAACACAAACAGATTTTTTGGCCGAGCCTAAAAAGTTTGGTATTTGAATAAATTTGGCAAAACTTGTATGAAAAAGTGTTGCAACTCGGGACTATTGAGAGGATGAAACTGATATTGAGATATGTATAGCCCAGTGGCGTACCCAGGATTTCGGCTCGGGGGGGGGGGGCGACAAAAATTTTTTTCTGATGAAGGTGCGTGGCGTTAGCCACGCACTCCGAAAAAATTTTTGGGGTGTTTCTCAAACTTTTTGCGGCCTTATACCCCCGAAAAAAAATTTTTTACAAGGCTAATTTGAATTTTTAAAAATTTTTAAAAACCATTTTAATTATTTACATAAATAAACAAGTCACTTGCACATTTTTATAACCCACGTAAGTAAATTTCAAAAATTTCGCGACCCATTCTCCCCCCCCCCCCCTCGGTACGCCACTGGTATAGCCATATTTATGAGCTCCCCAATTTCTTTCTTTTTTCACTTTCGAGCAATGGGACTGCAATGAGAGCAGGGTTTCCACTTTCCGGTTTGCCGCACATATCTTTGATTTGAAATTCCAATCTTTTCATGGGAATGTTTTCAAGTTTTTTGATAACCTTCTAGTGAAAGCATTTTGAATTGCCAAAAATGTCCAGAAGTTCTTCTCGTAATCTGCAGAAATCTGATGGTTATTTCGTGAAATCTAGTTGAAGTCAATCTGAAAAAAGGTGAGATGGTGAGTTGATAATTTTTTGTTCAGACACCAAAAATTCAACGTTCTCCCTAATCCTCGCGCCTCACTTTTCTTTATTGCGTTAATTTGAACTCTGTCCATTGCTTGGTCTATGAATGCATTTTGACCATTCCCATTATACATACATTTTTTCCTTTCAATTCTCATTGTGATGCTAAATAAGCCCAGGACGTTTTTTCTTCAAAATGCTCGCACTTTTTTCAATAGTTTTTTTTTCAGGTGTGCGAAAGGATGTGTATCCCAAAGAGCCTTCGAGAGTTCGCGCAACAGATTTTTTTGGCTCTTCAAGGATGATTAGACATCTAACGGAAGAAATTGTCATTGACGATGAGTGGATGAACTATAGTGGCTAAGGATGTCCAGAATGTGATTTTCTTTGTCTTTTCCCGCTTTTTCCGCATCACTTACAGTCATATTCAGAGCACTTCTCATTCCCATTCGCTGTTCCCATTCTCTGCCCATTTCTTGTCTTTGAAGTATAATTTGTGAGCACCAGAAAATCCCTTATCATACTTAAGAAATGTGATATGTTTGCGTCACTGATCTGATACTTTAGTGAATTTTTAAATCTATACACGATTCATGACACGCAAAGACTGGGCGCCGTTGCGTCCGGCCAAGATAGTTCGTGCCTGGGAGAGGCAGCAGATGGTAAGAGAAACGAAAGAGCATTGAATCAGTAAGACGCCGATAAGTCTGCAGTCTTTGCGTGCTATGAATCGCCTGTATGTTAGTGGTCTATAGGCTTTATCTCTTTTTTTTTATAGTCTGTGATGTTACGGGTTCTTTGTACTAATAAAGTAGTTATCAAGGACGTATTCACAAGAAAGATTGTTTGAAACTACACTTAGCGTTTGGGTACATGATGCGAATCATAAACGGAGCTTCTCAAATTGTTTTGCAACTTATGAGGATTACCATTGTTTAGTGCGTAATCGACGTCCCACGAATGATGATCCCAACCATGCTGGTAACGTCCACAGCCCCATTCGTTTGGTATAGGAACAGCGCCTCCGTATAGAACATTTAAGCGCAGCCGAGGAGTGAGGCTAACATTCATTCGAGAATGGTAGACGCGAGAACGCTTTTTGTAGGTTTTGCGGTTAATCATTTATCGGTGAGTACCGAACGACAAAATCAGAAAGCAGCTGGCCCCAAAGAAATGGACGTTCACTATACTTATTATCAGAATGATGTCGTGGAGATGAAAAAACTATGTCTGCTTCTTGTAATTGCATTAAAAGGCGAGGAAGTAAACAACAGCATTGTGATTCTTCTTAAAAAAACTGGAGATAAATAACATTCGTGTTTCGTGATCCTACCCCTCTATTTTCACGTCGGATGTGAGGGATGAAACAGAGGCCGGGTGTGCCGCAATTCTTCTACTAGCGGATAATGGACTTGTACGCGGATTCTTTGCGGGACCACTTAGGAGACAGTCCCTATCATTATGACGATGCAAGCATTCAGCGTGCATGCATCTTCCAATACAACCATTTAGGTGGTCGCCTTATGGTGCTTTTCTCCGAAGTCTATGTGTTGACGAAGTCGCGAGAGGTTGAGATCCTCAACTTGAGGATAACAAGTGTAAAAGAAGACCTTGGCTGGTCGGAGGCACGGTTGGAGTAATTTTGGGCTTCCGTATGATAACAGGAGATCACGAATTAAACCCGTTCGGTAAGTATTAAACACATTTTCTTATCTGTAGTGTTACGGCGTAAGACTGTCAACATATCGAATCATTTTCGGAATTTTATGTCGCTTTGCTCGGAATGCGTTCGACAATGTTAACAGCCGTTTATCAGTTCAACATTCATCAACTTCAGCAGAAACAATGAAGGTAAATTTTTATGATTTGCAAACAGTGAGATCATTCGATGCGAGATAGATGACATGTAAGTTACTAAACAGTGCGACAAAGAAGATTATCGTATCCACTGTCTTCAGTTTTGATCAACATATACAATAGTACTATCGGCGGTGACGGATCCGTTCGGATTTCGTACTGTGCATCGATATGATTCGGTAACTACCCAGGGATCGGCCACCACTAGCAAATCTCCATTTGAAAGCACCTAAATACGAGGTTTCAGCTTATCCAACTTCAGCTCTTAATTCTTCTTCTGCAAAGTTAAACCAACCATGTGCGAATCCGTGTCGATCTCTTCAAGGTTTTCCTCATCTGTTAATCGCTGCCACATCACTTTTGGTTTTGGCATACCACTTGCTCGACACATCAGTTGCACAGGATTACCAGGCAGTTCAAGTCGTGACACTGTCGTGACGGCAATCGTCGGTGCAGCAGCCATCGTGGCGTTGCATGTTTTGCCTAGAATACAGTTGTAAGCACTTTACAAGTATACTCCTCACTGCAAAACCAAATGGTACAAGATTTTTTCGACTTCATCCAACAGTCAACCTGTTAGGACGACGCAACAAGAGAAATCATTGGTAACAACAAAGAAAAGCGAATAGAGATTGAGAGCAATTTACATCATACGGCGACAACTGCGATGCCTTAGGGCCGCATGCACTAACCTCCCCGCGGGGAGGGGATCGCAGCTTAAAAGAAAGCTTTATATTTCGAAACAGATACCTGGATTTTACATTGTGTACCTATCCGTAAGTATTCCTACTACCCTTTACTATGAACATGTTGAAGAGGAGCGAGAAGCTGTACGAACCGCATTTTCCAGCTTTTGTATGATCCCTAATGATCCCCGGCGCTTTTCTTTGAAGTCATTTTTCTTTCTCCGAAGTTAACGGAAACCTTCCAAAGTTGTACTGAACATCTAACACAACAGTGCTAAGCATGTTGCTGATGAGAACAAATGAGTTTTTGAAAAGTCGAATTTTTCGGCAAACCTGAAATTTCGACGTGTGGATCATCGAAAATTTCATGACTGCAAAACATCATTTGCTCTTATCAGCAACATGCTTACCACTGTCGGTTTAGATAATCTGCACAACTTTGGAGGTTTTTCGTTAACTTCGGAGAAAAAAAATGACTTTAAAGAAAAGCGTCGGGGATCATCAAGGATCAAACAAAAGCTGGAAAATGCGGTTCGTACAGCTTCTCGCTCCTCTTCAACATGTTCATAGTGAAGGGTAGTAGGAATACCTACTGATAGGTGCACAACGTGAAATCCAGGTATCTGGAGTTTCGAAATATAAAGCTTTCTTTTGAGCTGCGATCCCCTCCCCGGGGGATGTTAGTGCATGCGGCCCTTAGTCTTTCACTTCATACCCTTGATCTATCACATTGTCTCTATGGTACTCTCGCGAGAATGCAGCCGAATCGGATTTTTGGGTTGTGACTCACTTTAACTTATTCAGTACTTATTTCTCAATCCGTTCTACTTATGTGATTGTTGATCTGTATTTTTGATGCAAGGGATAAAATTACTCAAGTTTGAGTTTTTTTTTACCAAAGAATGGACCTTGCACATTGCAGCTGTCCTTTGTTGGGCTGATTCGATAGAAACTGATATAAGCTAATTCTATTTACTTCTGCCATTACTCTTTCTCCTTTTTCTTCTTTTTACTTGCTTAATAGCTATTCACACCAGATAATGGTCCCCTTTTGCTTGTTTGTGTGGCTATAAGAAGACAACAACTCTGATCAAGTTAAGACGCCCCGTATATAGCGCGATGAGGTTTCATAGCTCACAATCGTTGACCAAAGTGAATGCAGAGCCCAATTTAATGAATGTCTACGTCAGAATCTGTTTGCATAGCGTCAACACAGATAAGAAACTGAGGAACAGCATAGCTGCTGAGCGAACAAACAAAGAAAATTGTGTATGGCAAAGAAGATGAATATAGGTTTGTTAACTTTGATCATCATGCGGATAACTACCTCGTTTTGAGTGCTATATGTTGACGCTGCGGGGGTGAAAGGAAGGGACGGATGGATAATATTCGAAAAGATCATCTGTATGGTTGAACACGCTAACTGACAGGTTTGCTGTCACTTACTTCGTATAATTTTTTGAAACCAGTGAAATTAGTCAGCCTCGAAAAAATGAACTCCTGGGGGTTTACTGCTTTTTGGTGAATATCAATGTCTCAACTTCCAAGAATTCCTTACCCCGAGCCGCATTCGACAACGAGACCACAGCTTGTGATGAAATCACTTCTCCGCATGGTGAGGTTGCTTGGCAGGTGTATTCTCCGAGAGTTTTGCGATTTACGCAAGGAATTGTGTATCCTATACAAGAGTACATTTAGGAAGTGGTGCAAAATTTTTACAAAAGCTTACTAGTTTCAATGAGGCCGCTTGCGATACGAGTACTATGTAATGCAGACTCTACTGTGGGTGCTGGATATGCGGCCACAATTCGTCCTCGATGTAGCCATGTGATGGCAGCCTAGAATCTCAAGATCTGCGTAACTTGAAAAACCCAAACTTTTCTCAAAAGTTCTCAAAAATGGAAAGGAACGTATCCAAAATCCGAAAAAATAAACTTCAATTCCTTTTCTTTTTTACTGCATTCTACTCCAGCTTCATACACTTACCTGTGGCGCTCCATAGATACTGCACATCAGTGTTACTGTATCTCCATATGACACTTCAACATCTTCAAGACCTTGTTCAAACTGAATTTGAGGCGGTTCCACTAGTGATGTGCACGTCGTCAACTGGGCTTGCAACTGAAACAATTTATTGATCCAGTCTCTCAGTTTTGTTACTAGGATGTAGTTTAGAGTACAGATTCAAAGCTTTTAACGAAAAAAAAAACACACTTTTGAGCGGTTGAAAGGAAGTTACGCAATCTACTGCAAATTAAATTTGCAGTTTGACGCTCAAAATCATTTATCTTCTAATACTGCTTATACACAAACCTGCAAAGAGTATAAAGTCGCGATACCATTTTTCTTGCTCAGTTTAAATCGGCACTAAAGATGATTGTTATTGTCTCCGTTTTTGCCAAGGTTCAGTGTATTTCAACAGACTGCAGCTCAACTACGATATGCTTCTAATCCCTGCTTGAAACGTGTACTAAAGTGACTGATCTCATAAGCACTTTCTGATGTCACCTTCATGTCTGCGTGATTTTTTAGTGATTAGATATTGCACCTTTCTTAGAAGAAAAAAGGGGTTTAATAAAAGTTTCTTTTACGAAAAGGTAATAATCGCTCTGTTATAAAGTAAATTAGCGTTCTTATCGAGTCATGCACACATGTAGCTTCAAATTATTTTTGATCCGGAAGCCACTGGTATTCCGAACAAACTCAAACAAAATCTCATACGGTCACGACGACTTTTTTTTATAGAAACTTCAAATGAGTGTTTTCAAAGAAACTGGTTTTTTGTTTCGTGGGAAACTCCGCCAAAGCGTATGCAGTAGCGATAATGAGAGTTTCTCGTTCAATTTGGTTCATGTCTGAGTCGCCTACTTTACGTTGTGTACCGGAGCTTACACTAGACTGATAGAACCCGTTTAAGTATTTTGATTATCAATTACACATCCTTTAGGACCAGGACTATCACTTAAGGGGTTCTGGCCGTAGTACACTTCTAGGCTCATTTTGAGGGCAAACAGAATGACATAATCGTATCCGCTTTTTTTCTGTCTTGGTATTGCCTTCATACCTTACTTACAGTTACATTGAAGGAGGCTGCTTCTGTCCTATGGACTTATTGCTTCTTTATTCAATACTCTATGCTTGTTCTTGATGTTGAGTTTAGAGCTTACTACCATATACATTTGCGTGTTTTTCCACGTTTTTGTGCAGATAACGAATAGCTAACTTTTTTGCAAAAATACGTAGTTTTTAGCGGGTCTTATTCTGTTCAGCTATCTTCGCTCAAAAAAAAGTAGACCAGACATGAGAGTACTGCAGACCTTAGCAGTCACAATATAATCAGTAATTCGGGTTGGGCCTTCTGGCCCACCACTTTGGAAAAATCGTAACTACTTCCCGTAATAATGTTCTTGCTTGGCATTAACATCACTAGAGGGTAATCTGATTTCCTCTTTGTAAATGAGCAAAGTTTGTGCTGATTGAGCCTTTATCGAAAATGTAATTCTCGAGAAAATAGCAGGACGGGAAATAGATTTTTTTTTATTATTTTCCGGAATATAACTTTTTATAAAAAAAAGTACGATCAGCACAACCTTGATCAGTTCGAAAGAAGAGGTTAGAAAACTTACGACTGACTCTTTTGGGTTTTATTGCATCACGGTCCTTATGTGGCCTTTTTTCCACTTTTATCTCTGCTGTCAAAGCTCAGTACATAGTAAACAAGGTTTCATGCAAAGTGAGTTCTATCTTTTTGGAAACAGGTTTGCTCGTTGAATTCATCACTTTTAAAATCTCGGCAACCTCAACTCAGACTTTTGCTTATCTGGGGTAATGCGGCGCGCTGATTCTAAAACTCCACCTTAGAGAGTGCGAAAATGGCGAGAACCAGCATCTATCAAAGCCTCATTATGGATTTGTGTGGAACAGTCTCGCTAAGATTGGAGACGCAGGGTTGTTGCGGGACCCTTATGGTCATGGCACTGCGTTATGCCGCCTCCGACAGTGTCAGGGAAATCGAGAGCTCGTTCGAACGCGTACAGGAGAGGCGCACGCACGGATTCGGGGCAGTTTTCTTAGCGGAGGCAGCATGTTGAGCGCTTCTTGTTCTATTTTACACTTTAAGTGTAAGCTCATGTTTTGCCAAGCAGCTGCCTTTGAGCTTCTTGAGCTCTATTTGAATAGATGATGGCAAATGGTTGCATTGATCATTGTAGGAAATGCACTGGCACTGTTCTTTTTCTATTCAAAGCATATTTAACTGACCACTTTTTAGCACTGTCGCGGCTTGCCCTGAATTTCTGCGTGGAAACGCAGCAAGACGACAACAATAATCCAAAAAAAGATTTAAGTCATTGAAGGAAATTGCTGTCTGACATTTCATTCGATGGAATGAAACAATTCTGCACAAATAAAAAGGTGACTTAGATTAAGTCCAGACGGAAGCTATCCCCTGTAACAAAAATGTGCACTTCAACTTTTTGCAGCTCTGAAATGTGGAATGCAAAGAAAAGTTTAATTATGAAAGATTCTTCTTAGAAAAAAAGACTATTATATCACACTTTGTGACGAGACCCGCTCATGTAATCTGACTTCTTTACTACCTTTTTTGCCCCTCAACATCTAACCTTCTCGCGCCCGTCATTCTAGTAAGTTTGACGCAAGGAATTCTCGTCGACAGCGGTGCAAAAAATGACTGTGGTTTTAGAATGAAACAAAAGTTCTGTCGCACCATATGTTTTCAGCGAATGGAGAAAAAATGAGTCAAGTACTACTCGACAAAGGAACAAGCTCTACAAGATAGTAAGCAAATATTCATATAAATCTGTTGCGTAAAGTTTGAACCCAGAAATTAAAATCATCTGACTTCCCGATAACCAGTTCTCTAATGAGAAAAGTGAAGGCTATTCGGTCATTGTATAGTATACACATATTAGCATTCTAGCGACACTTCGCAAGTTCTTAGCAGAGGCATGGGAGTGAGGCAACATGACTTTAGTTCGACGCCGATTCACATCCCAGCGCGGCTTCCGAGCTAAATAAACTTTGACCCCCAGACAATATAGATGTTGCTAGCTCGAACATGATTGTCATTTAATTTACAAGTCTTCGCGGAAAGAGCGAGATAAGCTTTTTATCACTATAGTGTTGAAGCAGTAGTAGTAACCTGAAGTAGTAGTAGTATGGTATTTACACCGTTTCACTTACAAGTTCTTGTACCTGTTGCTACTGATCTCAGCAACCTTTTACTATCACGTAATGTGTTTTCAGATCAGTTCATGCATTGTTTGTCATGCTCGTCTTGTAGTTGTTTGTCGGGTTCATCTTGTATATAAAGCTGAATGTCTGTTTGTCTGCATGTCTGTATGTGTGTATTTATGTTAGGAATAAAAATAAATTAGCATGCTGGCTACGAATACATTATTAGTTTTAGAATTATCGATTACCCCTATCGATCTCATCGATTTTTTGCAAAATGTGAGCTACAGGCTGGGAGCTGACACAAGGTGGTAAAGGGCATGTTGATTAGAAAACTTAGTCGAGGCACGGCACTTGTATATAGAAGTAGGAGCGAAAACCGACTTTACTCGAGATAGTTTGAGAAGTAGAGAGCATGAGCACTTGCATGAGATCGGATGAGATAAAAAATTTTTTGAACGAATATTTGATTTAGTGGCACTAAAATCTTGCGAATTTTAGCTTCAGACTTCGCGCGGACCAAAATTCTGCGAATGTCTGGAGCGCATCCTGTAAAGTTCGTTTTGCTCTATGAATAGTGCTTCATTTGATTTTTTCGATGCTCACCCCTCGGTGATGCGAGAACTCTCGGTTTAACTACTCACCTCGTACTTTCCTACACTTTGTTCTCTCTTGCAGTAAGATAATGCGGATTAAGCCTAAAAATGCTAGGAATGTAGTGTAACAATATATGATGTAAAACAAAAAGCAGCAAGTGAGTTTTTGTTAACAGCTACAAAACAAATCAACATTTTGACTTCAATTATGACGAATAACTTCTTGCTAATATGAACAGTAACTCTTTTATTTGAAAATTTATCAACTGTGCAACCCATGTACAAAATTGTACGAAATATTCTTTAGAGAAACTGACGAATATCGCATAGACGAACAAGTAAAACTCGCTGCTTTATCAAACATGCTAAATCTATCAATACATAATTTTTCACTGCGTTTTTTCGACTACAGTCTTTCTTTTGTTTCGTCAAGACTTATGCGTAAAACTCCCCTGAAATCGTCTGTTTCGAAATTGCAATACTCAGCCAGGCCAAGCTGGAAAACATCATCTTTACATCGAGAGAAGTGCAATTAATCTACGCTGACTAACATATGCGGAAGATTTGTTCTACGCAAATTAAGGAGTTCACTCGTGCTTGTAGGATTTTCATGAGATTAAGATACATTTTTGCCTCCATTTTAGCTCAGTGGTATGAGAGATGTCGCGTGATTAATACAGCAGTGTCCCTGAACCATAAGAAGCTATATGACATTGTTCAAATCCTGCTTAGTACAAGCTCAACTAGAACGCGAAGTTGATACCGCGCACAAAACTTGACAAATAGCCACAATACGCTATATACAAAGCTGTTTCAATCACACAAGTGCAACTGCCTTAGTGGAAAGATGGAAGATTGTGCAAAGAAGGGAACGATTCCAATGAATATTATTCATTACCAGTGCGTCACCACCGCTTCGCATCTCATGCAAAAAGTGGGGATCGCATAGATAGTCTAATTGAAAAGATTTTATTTCAGTTCTTTAGGTAAAACCTTCCCAAGTAGACTATCTACGCGATACCACTTTTTGGCGCCGTTTTCGCAGAAAAACAAACTTTTTGCATACTTTTTGGGTTAAAATTCATGGGGCGCAGATTTGCTTGTTAGGCAGATCATGACTTTGCAAAAGATTCGATTAGCGACTTAGTTTTGCGTGCCAAAAGCCGCGTGGACCCATTTGACGCGCAAATTTTGAAAGACCCTTTATCGAACAGGCCCGTTCTTGTGCATGGTGGACCTACATGCTGGTACGGTATGTTATGCAAATTTGTAGCTTGATAGCTTGGCGCAGCTCGCTCTACGATTTTCGTGACAGACAGACATGTACACACA